CTTTTGTCATAAGAGAAAGAAAAACCAAGACAATAGGTTATTATTTTTACGTATATGAAAACAAAAGTAAAACAGATGTTTTATCATAAAGGAAGACTTAAATACGTTCGACAATATCGTTTAATGTTTTGTCAAAAGATTGTGCGTTTGATTGATATTCATGTGAATGATGAGGGTGTTTAAAAGCTAATAATGGTGAATGCGATTTAACAGCAATACGTGATACAAGGTTGGTTTCATTACTAATATGCATAACATATTGATGCATAAATTCTTCAAATGTTTCAGCTGGTATAAAATTATTTGTATGATTATTAAATGAACTTGTAGAATATTGATCACTAGCTGATAATGATGGACGTGGTGACATTCTTGCATTTGAATGAATTTCAAATGCATCACGATGTTTAGTATATATATCATAAACAAAATGCCAACAATTATCAATTTCTTCAGCTTTTGGTAATGAATTACTACTAATACCTAATTTTGGTTCTTTATTTATTGATGATGCTTTACATAAAATTAAATGTATTTTAGGTAATTTAACACCATTTTCCTCGGCACGATAATAAAAACTATAATGACGATAATAAGAATATATACTGGACGGTTGAGAAAAACCATAAAGAAGACTAAAATAAAAACAAATTGATTATTATTATTTATTTATTTACAAAAAAAAAAAAAAAAAAAATTTTTTTTTTTTTTTTTTTTTTTTTTAGACTANTTTTTTTTTCTTCTTTTGTATACCTAAATAGATATTCAAAACCATTTCGATGTAAATGATCTTCACTAACAGGTAAAATAATCCTATCAGCCGCTGTTAATGCTATTTCAGTTGCAATATTAAATGATGAATTTGTATCAATAAATGTCATTAATTTAATTCCACGTCGTTCACCTATTTTCTGTACAAATACACGTAAACTTTGTGTTATTGTACGCCATGCATTTGTATATGGAGTTATTGTTGTTGAACTACGTTTTAAATCCATTGCTTTACCTAATAATTCAAGAGATGTATCACCACATAAAAGATAAACCTATTTAAAAGAAAAAAAAATCGAAGAATTTTTCTTTTCTTTTCTTTTTTTGTTTTTTCGTCAAATAAATAATTTATTTCTAACTTACATTACGGGGTAATTGACTGTTAAATTTTGATACATTAAATAGAAATGTACGTGGATCAACATTATTTGGTAAACCAACTGATGTATATAAATCAAGATAACCAGATATTGTACGTGGTATAAGTTGTTGACCATCAAGTATCATTGGATTCTTTTTAAGCGAACCAATTTGTGAAACATAATCATGACCTTCTTCATCATCACCTGAAAACCAAAACAATTCTTATGATTAACATATATATGGACAAAATCATTCGTTTATTGATGTAATTTTGAAATATTAAAATAGATGTATGTTGAGATAAGGAAATTTTCCCAGAGTTAATTTTCTATATCTTAAGTTACTCTTAAAAAATTACCGCTAGAGACGTTTGTTTCTATTGGAATTATTAATCACAAAAATTAACGTTAGCGACAGGAAGGATTACGAATATATAAATGAAAAAATTTCTCGTATAAAAGAATAAGAAGTTCAAAAATCAATTCCGAACCGGTACACATTCTTCTCTGAAATCGCTAGATAATTATAAAATAAAACTTTTTAGTTCGAAACTTGATAGAATTTCTAGAAAATTGGTTTTCAAAAAAAAAACGTTTTTAGGAGTTCGATCTTGCTAAAAATTTCATCATAGATTCTATTCTGAAGTTTTCGAATTTTCTTTTGTCTTATAGGGTTAAAGAAATATTTGCTAATTATTTTTTTTAATTGATAGTTAACTGAAAGAACCAACATTTTGGCATTTGTCTAGGTTAAAAGAACTTATTCAGAAAAAAGAACTCTTGTAAACAATCAAAGCCGAACGAAAGGTGAATATGTTCTGATTTTGCCTNTTAAAATTTTTTAGTAATATTTTATTTATTGCCATTGCATTGACATTATTTATATTAAATATAATTAAATATGCCAATAGTTATCTTAAACGAGATAATTATAATATAATTGAAGATATCAATGGAGATTTTTATATTGTTAAAGGAATCTATACAAATGAAACAATATGGAATTCGAATTGTTCGTCTAAATATTCAAAATCATATGCTGAAAATATTTTTCAATGGTTTATTGCATCAAAAACAAGTCAAAATCAAGCATTTCATGTATTTTATTGGTTTATGATTATAATTTCATTAATTATTTCAATTACTCCATCAAGTATATATGTAGGAAAATATTTAAAATCAGATAATTACAATATTACTGAACGATATTGTTTAATGAGTATTATTCTTTTTATTCGAACATTTTTTAGTATAACAATATTTGTTTTTCCAAGTTATTATATGTATACATTTGATTTTACTAGTGAATTATGTTTAGATGAATATCCAACAAAATTTTCAATAGATATATTACCATTTATATTTGTTACTTTTATTTGTTTAATTATTTATTATTTATTTTATTTAATTGTTAGTTCATTTTATGATAAACATAAATTTTGTTGTCCAATGGAATGTTTATCATATGGTGGTTTATGTATGTTAGGTTTATTAATTATTGGTATTATTCTTTTTTCAGCAGTAATCATTGCTTATATTTTTGTTGTTTCATTTATTGAAAAACCTCTTCGATTAGCAGTTATTCTTATTATTGTTCAATTTCCTTTTCTTATTCTACAACTTTTAGCTGATTGATTAATGTAATTATTTAATAAACATGAATGAGAATTTTTTCTACTTGATGAATTATTTTTTTAAACTATTTAATCTATCTTATATAAAAAAAAGAAAAAAACAGAGAAGTTACCTGTAAAAGCTATGGATACTTCACAGATATCCATGGTTACTTTAATGTTTAATTATACATGAGGTTTTATAAATAAATGTCAAGGTAAATATCATTATCTTTTAGAATTAAAAACAAGGTAACTATGAGCGTCAGAAGGAGTGTCTACAGTTTTTAAAAGGTATCTTACACATTTTCAAGAAAAATTGTTGGAGTATGGAAAATACATTGAAAGATGATCTTCAATATCTACTCTTTCTATACTTGTTATAGGTTCTCTTTTACAAATGTTGGATAGACGATCATTGATCGAATAGTAATTAGTTGCAATTTTCAATATTAATATTATTAGAAAATAATCGAACCGTATATTCTAGAACAAAGAGCATCGGATATATGAGTGTGAATATGAAATATTTTTAAAATTTTCTTACTTGTTCAGGAAATCTTGCACAACAGCAAATAATAATTGTTTTAGAAATTCACATGAATCCATACAAATTTTCCTTATTTTACAACGTTCGTTTTTGATATTTCACAATTAATTATTTTTTTTTTTGTCTTTTCGCAAGACATCGATTAATTGGAAAGATCAATATCCACATTCATAATATCCAGGATACCTGTAATTAGACTCATTTTATAAATATTTTGTGAAACTTATATATATTTTCGAAGAAACTATAGTGAGTGGAAGTTTACATCGACATTTTTGCAGTTGCATCTCTTAGATCCTAGCAACAGGGGGAGAAAGTCCTAGTTTATTAGGTATATTTTCCCAAAAGCAAGAAAAAGTGCGTCAGTAATAACAATGCTTAGATCATTCTGGAACTTGGTAGAATCTTCCAAAGCCTTCTATCAATTTAAGATTTCTACTATAGATTCTAACTAGTGTAAATATTGTAGATTTTGATATTTCATACACCGAAAAGATTTTATAGTAGATGTCAATCAGTATGGCGTTAGTATTGTTGATCTAGTAGAATCATATGAACTAAAGATATTCTAAGTTTAGACAAAACTCAACGGTATATGTTAAAGTTCCTTGAGATCAAGGATGGTGTACTCAGAAGCTTACTGAACGAGTATATTAATATCAAATTATATAATGAAGATGTATCCGACAATAGAAACAAGTTTTGTCAATATAACGATGTTAAATAAATTAAAGAAATTGGTAGAGTAGAAATTCGAAATGGAAATATTTTCCAAATAATAAACTAAAACTTAGCTCTCTGCTGCTCCCGAAATACGACAGATGTAATCAGGGAGATGTTACATACTGTGACAGACTCAAGTCAAAGATCGCCAAAGACTTGTCATAATAAATGAACTATTTTTTAATTGTATTTCTTGAGGATGAAGGACAAGGATGATGAAGAAATGTATTCTAAAATAGATAAAATACTAAAGTCTCCATTAAATTTCATCGAACTTGACTCGCTCCAAATCTTCGTCTAATTAGTAATCGTAGCTACACATTATGTTTCACATTTTAATCTCATGGAGATCAATTCAGATTCGTGAGATTTAAAATCATTTCCTATTTGTTTTCTTTTATTAAAAAGTATAATTTTATTCAATAATAACTAATAAATGGAATCTTTAAAATTTCTTAATCATAGATTAATAAGCATAAAAAAGTTCATTCTAATTTTCAATCATTAATGTTTAATAATATGTATTGAAAAAAAAATTAATTTTATTTATGTTTTTCAAAAAACTCTCGTGTTGCATCAATTATTTGTTGTGCATGTTCAAGAAGTAACATATGAGTTGCACCAGGAATAATAGTTAATAATGAATTTTTATATAATTGATGAAAACGATAAGCAGTATCTACAGGTATTAAAGTATCTTTATCTCCCCATACAATTAATATTGGTATATTTAATTTTGCAATAAATTCAATTGTTTTTAATGAAGCTTCAAAATCAAAATTAGTTACTGTTGAAAATAAAGATCGTAAATATCCTGGATGTTGTTGCCAACCTAATTGAAATAAATTTTTATATTGTTCATAATATTCTTTATCAGGAAAAGCCCATTGTAAACGTTCTTTATCATCATCATGATGTTTCATTACATATTTAAAAACTATTGGACCAATTATAGGTAAAGATAACAAAAATAGACGAGTTTTTGATGGTTTTACTAAATTAAGTCCAGCTGAACTACAAAGAATTAATTTAGATACTCTTGATGGATAAAGTTCTGTAAAACGTTGAACAATAGCACCACCCATACTAACACCAAATAGATTATATTTTTCATATGGAAGATTTAATGCATATAAAATTTCAGCTAATTGACAAACAAATATATCAATATTCATTGGTACATGAGGAGCATCAGACCAACCACGACCATATAAATCAAAAACTAAACATGCCTGATTATCGTTAGCAAATGCTGGATATATATATTGCCACATTTCCATTGGAGTCGAATAACCATGAATGAATATATTCAATGGTAATGATGATGATGATGAAGGATGATAAATATAATGAACAATACCAAATGAAAGTTCTATGAATTGATCACGTCCCATTTTTGTTATAGGTGTAGTGGAAGTTCGATCACGAGGACGTGATAAACGACCACGTTGAAAAGTAAGATGATCATGAAGTATAAAAATTATTATACAAATCAATATGATAAGAAAAGGTATAAGAATTAACATCTAGAATTAATTTTATTGTTTTTTATATGATTCTTACACTCAATATTTTGAATAGTTCGTATTTTATTTTTCTTAAAGTTGTTTATAAATTGAAGAAGTATGAATTTTATTCGTATTTGTTTGTGTCCGTATTTTTTTTGGAGAGATCTATTGATTTTCTATTTGCATTGTCTTTTTTTTTTGTCTATGAACAAAATTAAAAGAAGATTATGCTGATCGAAATAAAGTGAAATGGATAATGTTGCAAACATAGAACTGACCTTCAGTTTTATGAATCTTTAGCATCGTGAAATAATTAGATTTGTTGATTTTGAGCTATCATCAACAACAAATAACAACTTGCAAATTAACAAAAGTCTGTTGCTACAATAGAAAATGATGAAAGATAAAAAGCAAAGAGCATAGTCATCATAGGACACATATTGACAATAGATAATAATGATAAAGCTGAAAATAAATAATAAAAAATAGAAGCTTGTAATTTTCAATGTTAACAAAATAATACTAATGAGAAGGAATTTGTTGGATTTTATTCAATAGATAGGACATGTGAATTAGATATCGAAAATCCAACAAATCGGCTATTATTCTGTGCCAAAGGCACTTGAGAACAAATGCTTTTAGCCTTTTAATAGTCTCATCAAGACCTCCCTCTCAATTCAATATAAGATAAAACAGCCACGACTAATTGAGGAAGTTCCCTTTCTAGAATTTACCAAATGTATTGATGTCAATATTGTAATATTGGATAGATAGCTCGAACAACATTTCTCTGTATACTAATAACTCAAACAATATTCTATATTTCTTCGATATTTTGTTCTTCTTTAATAATGTCTAAGACTTGTTTACACTTTGAATCGGTCAATTGAAATATAACGATTGTTATTAGTAAGACAATGCACCTGTTCGATATTTTTAAATGCTCTCTTGAGTACAAATTTAGCAGTTCATCGCTCGTTTTCTACTTCTTTATGAAATCATTTAGATGGTTTTTCTTCTTATCCATTTAAAACAAAGATGTAAAAACTTTCATCGAAATTTTTTTTAATGATCACATCAATTGAAGAAATACAAAACACTACTCGTATTATACTTAGGGCTGACCAAAAGTTCTAAGCCCTGTGTTTGAAGGATCTTGTCGGATAAGGTAACCTATTCAGGAATGAGAAACCAAGTATACCATATTGTAGAGCATTTTCAGGCGCATGGAATGGTATATAATAAATCCTGTTTTCATAANATGATCACATCAATTGAAGAAATACAAAACACTACTCGTATTATAAATACATATAAAGAGAACTTCTTCTCGAGCTTTCTATACAATATTATAGTATCGACGTCATTCTTTTTGGTATATCCTAAAACGGAGCCATATTATCTTCATTCAATACACAAATCTCTTATCAATATTGAAAGTTCAAAAATACATCGTTTATTGTCATCAACAACAAGAAAGTCTATATGTATGTGATAAAAAAAGAACGATAAATAAGTATTTACAAAAAAAATCATGAATTTAAGTAAGCAAGAAAATCAATCCGCTTTATTGAAGTAAATTACAAAACAATAAGCAATCATGAATAAGAATGCTTTATAGTTATTTGAAATTCAGTACAGATATATATATATGTATAATATTTACAGANGTGCTCACTTCTCCCACAGGAGATGCGGCATCTCCCACGGGAGACGCGGCACCCACACTCGGGAGATGCGGTGATTTGCTGTTGGAGATGTATCATCTCATTGAGAGATGTGCATCCCTCACATTGGATGCTGCATCTCCCGGCAGAGATGTGAGCACTTCTCCAAATTGTAGGATATGTGACACTGCTGACAAAAATGGTCTTTAATTGCAGAGAGAAAATTTTATCCTATTTTGAAAAATAAATGGCTAAAGAATTAAATATGTTTTATCGATAAATAGAATCGAGATTTAGATTGAAGTATTGAATTTTGAAAATGTGATATTAATATTAAATCGAAGAATTTTTATTAACTATCATTCCTCTATAGCATAAACAAAAAGAAGTGAATTTTCTTTAGTTTTATATTTTAATGTCAATTGACTTCGTGCAATTATTTAACATATAACAGAAAATATTCTTCTAGATATTAAAATTTTGAAATATGTTCATTGAAAGATAGTAAGATTAAGTTGAATATTCTTCGTTTGCTTGTTTTCGTTGCTAGCTATATCAAATAATTTATTCATCGACATATAACACTATCAAGAAATCATAAAATTCGTTGTCTTGTAACTTATGAGCGTTAAACAACGAATGAATATCAGAAATACATAGTATGTCAGAAAAAACGATGAAATTTTTAAACTTCAATATGCAGTGTTGGTTCTCAGTGGGTTAAACAACATATATCAATAATTTTCTGTTTTTGATAGGAACACTTGCTCTTTGAATATGTGTACACAGTAGAATCATTATGTGAAGAACTCACTTAATAAATGTAAATAATTGAGATTATTGATTGCAGATAGTTGTAGAAAATTGGCATGAATCAAAAAGTATATATTTATCATCTATGGAACAAGTCTGTTTTACTCAAGTTTGAAGATTTGATGGTTGCTTTCCTTTTAAAATATAGTATTCGTTTAAATAAGGGTGCGGGTGTGGTGATAATCGGCACCCATACCCACACACAGACATCCACACTCACCCCACATACACCCTACTCACACGCCCACATCCACACCCACACACCCACACCTACACCTACACCAACACTCACACCCCACCTACACCCACACCCACCCGCAAAACGCTCATCCAAACACTTTTGTCACCGTGCTTTTAGATGCGTCCATATGCAACAAATATTTTATCTAGATTGCTTATGAACGCATTTGCCATACATATTATATTTGCATGTGTTAAAGTCTAAGATTATTTTCTGTTTCTTCATATAAAAGTTCTTAGACTAAGAAGTCAAATATGAGAGACAAAACAAGATGCACATAATCGTATACACAAAAAACTTAATTCTTTAAATCTATTTGTTTCAATTCCCATTTATTTCTGTAACAAGTAAATTTTATAAAATTCATCTGCAGCTCGATATGATTAAAAGTTCCATTCAAAGTAAAAAAAAAGAAAAAGAAAAAGAAAAAAAATACAGTTCATTAATTTTGAATTTAAAATATAAATTCAAATTTTGCTTCGTACTTTAAATAGACGAAAAATGGCTGAAATGTCGCATCTAGTACACATTATTGAATAAGCTATTAATTATCAAAAAAACGGTTTTTCTCGTATTCTGTGATCCAAGAACTAAACATTTCTTTTTTTAAATTTAGTCATATGCAGCGCTGGAACCGGGCCGGTTTGGAAAATCTACCGGCACGGAAAATACCGGAAATTCACCGGTTGAAAATTAAAAATAACTATCTTCATTTTCTCTGTTTTTTTGTAAAAAAACTGTTATTTTTGGTTTTTTCCATCAAGTATGAAGTTGATGAAATGGTTTTCCATCGATATATAGTATATATATCTTAATACCATTATTATTAACATTGGAATAAAATTGACTATTTTTGTCAATATGATTGTCTATTGTTGTATATCTCATCTTTTGTTTATATTTTTTTTGTCACTTTGTTTTTATGAGCAATGATGAAAAGACGATTTGAAAACGAAACATGAACAAGCATAAGTTATACTAGAAGAGCAGAGTACTGAAAACTAATTTTCGATTTTGCATATCCTTTTAAGTCGGTAAACTTACCAAGGAACAATAGACACTATCAAGCAAAACTGCATCATACTCTCGGGATCTTATTCACAAAATTAAAATGTTCCATGACTCGCAAACATCAGGAATATCCTTTCTAGAATCTCAATCAAAGTTTTAAGTATACTTGGTCAAGAATTGAAATTCTTCAAAGTATATTTCTAAATACTTTTCTTAGGATCCAATGAGAAAACTTTAAATCCTAATCTGTCTGAATCTATGCTGTGAAGAGTAGAATTTGACTTCATTGTTTCTCCACGTGTTTTCAGTATCTGGGTCGCATTTGACCTAGTCAGTTATACGGTATGCCATCCGGTTTGCCGGAATTTCACCGGTTCAAGAGCATTCTGTGACCTATCCGGTCGCCGGACCGGACCGGTTTTTCGATTTCTTACCGGTTCCAGCTCTGCTCATATGTAACCGATGTCGAGTACACAATTTCAAGTGACACTGATACATTAAAAAAAATGAAAATATTTCCAACTTTATATAACTTAATGAAGTAATTGTTATAGAAATTGATGTTGTTCTCTATAAGGTCACATAATAATAACAGATAAAACTGTACGAGTATTTATAGCATCGTGGTACGTTCAATGTCTTTCATTCTGTAGGTATTGTGGTCGAATCTAGTTTGTTGTACTCTAATCAATAACTTAATAATGTGTTAAATTGAAATAAAAATATCATGTGGTGATGATAATGGATCGATACCATGATATAGAGCCCAATTTTTTAAAATTTAACAAATTTTGGATATCCTAAAACGCGTTTAGACGCGTCTAACAATAAACAGCTTCAGGATGCGCTTTTCTATCAGAAGGCGTTAGGACATCCCAAAATGTTGCATTTTGGATGCATCCAGACGCGTGAAGTTACATAGCTGGCAAACACTCGGGGGCTCGTCGAAAAATAAAATATGGATACATGGGCGATAGAGTATTCTGAAAGTGATTAAAAATATTTAGTTGTCTATTAGACTAGTTAAGTCGCTGAATGATTTACAAATTTAGTGCAGTTTTATGATACTATTCAAATATTTGTTTTTTGTTTGATAGCGAACACTTTGCTTCCTATCAAATTTATCTTATTATTCCTAGTTAAAAGTGACCACAGTTGTACTACAGTATGACGCCTACAGAAAACGATTATTCTTTGCTCATAAAAACAAATGAAATTTAAATTAATAAAAACCAATTCAATAGTCATTTCAGTGTAACTAGCAACGATATTACAACGTATGAAATAGTATTGTTTTATATATTCAAAGTAACACATAATTAGTTTACATGCAGTGAAGTAGTTTTCGTACGAGATTGCTTTTATCCACCCCATAATTACTAAGTACAATCATAGTTAAAGCAGGTGTTGGTAGGAAATTAAGGTGCGTATTAGTGGCTCATTCATTTGTGTTTAGTATTCAAGTACCATAAAAATAGTTATGATGCAGTCAGAGAAGCAAAAAAGCATCCAAATGCTAACATTTTCTATTCAGGAGCAAGCAAAGAACCGAGGACAAGATTACGTAGCATTATAACTCTAATTGAGTCAACAAACAAGGGAATATTTGAACATGGTTGTTCTCGAATTTAATGAACTTAACTTTATTTCCTGTCTCTAAATTTTCTATAAATCTTGAATACATCATTGTAACAATCTATACAAGTAATATAAAAATAAATACTACATACTGAATATAATCCCACATATCACCACAACATAAAACATACAGATGCATAATAACTGGTTTTCTTATGAAACAAGATTCATCAATGTCAATAGACGTCATAGTTTATTTGATACACCCTACTCAAAACTTAAGATAGACATACACGAATTTCTGCTACTCAGTTTCTCAATAGTCTTGAAAGTATTCTGTTGACATTGAATTGAATGCAAATTCAATAAAATCTATCAGTTGAGATTTCAAGTTAGCCCAAAAAAGTTATTCTCATTCATATTACGAATTACACGCAGTTTAATTGGATTTTTTATTTCCTAACCAAGAATTCTTTCAAAAAAATTCTGAGTTACATAATATTTGGTATAGAATTATAGTTTCTATAGAATGGCATATTTAGTTTTGTTTTCTGTCACTAAGAATAGCTTATACAATTAATGAGTTCCCACTTTCATATAGTAAGTTAATTCTTATATTGAATAATTATATATACAGAAAAGATCAATATTTATGAAAATCATGGATTTCTGAATACGTCAAATGTCTGAGAATATTTTATCTAAGCAAAAAAGTTTACAGAAAATTGTTTTTACCACTTAAAAGCCTGTTCAATGCTTTAAAAACCTTGTTCTAGAAATATTTCATTTGGAGAAATATTTCATTTGGAGAAATATTTTTGCTAGAATATTAAAGTTTTATCAGCGGCAATGAAAAAAATCTTTTTATGTAACCGTGTTACACGATGCTAAAATATTTATAACCTCAGCTAAAAAAAATCGTTCTTATGTTGTAAATAGAGTGCGATAAAATGCGCTGAATGACGTCTCAACAACTACATTCACTTCTTCATGCTTAACGATTCATAGTCTCTGATGCGTAATATTATTTGTCATGTTTTTATATTAACCATCTATATATATACGTTTCTTTGCAATTTCTTATTCTCTTTATACGTATTGTCAATATAATTATAAAATTACACCATATTTGAATAAAAATAAGTTTATCATGGGTAATAATGCTGATAAAGACTTGAAACATAATTATCCGATACATCATTTTCGTCATCAAGTTGAACCAAGTCCATTTTATTCTGCATGTCGTAATGGTGATATGGAAACTGTTCAATTAATGTTACATACTATTTCATATCAAGATTTAAATCGATTAGAACTTATTGGTAATACACCACTTCATGCAGCTTCATTCTATGGTCATAAAGAAATTGTTCGTCTTTTATTACATGAACATGGTTGTGATCGATCACAACGAAATCGTTATGGCTCAACAGCTGGTGAAGTAGCAAAAACTGATGAAATTCGACAATTATTTCATCGACCATTAAATATTAATCGATTTTCTGATAATAATAAACAAATTAATAATAATAATCAACAAACATTTGCTATTGTTTCTAATCTATCACAACAAGAAAAAAAACAGACAATGATGATCATGAACCAATACCTTCAAAACGGATTAAACTTTATCAAACCGATGATGAAATAATGAAAGGAATTCATTATCTTAGTAAAGGTAAACGTTTACTTCAATCAAAATTAGAACGATATATTGCTAGTAAAGGTGCAAAATATCAAAATGATCAAAAATTTAATGATTATGAAAATTTAATGGATTATTTCACTGATCGTTCATATCGTATTAATCAAATTCGTAAAATTATTGATAATTTTGTATCAAAAGAACATAATCAATATAATAGATGTTGTGATCTATTAGAAAAATATTCTCATGATGAAGATGTTGAATCATTATTAAGACTTTATTCACTTGAAACACCATTTTATCATGCATTAATTAATAATGTAGAACCATTAAAATGATCATTATTTTTAAATCGTTCAAATTTAAAGCATCGATTTTTTCAAGGTCAATCTTATTGTGGTATATTAATGAAAAGTAACGTTCATCGACATTCAATGACGATTCAGTTGGCCCTAGACTGGCGAAATGATGACCAAGATGTCCTTATATTTCAAAAAAAAAAGAATCCTGTATAATGATGAGCTTAGGAGAAATTATTAATATTTGTAACATGTCTAATATTATATACTATAGATATATTCAAATAGTTCACATAATGCATCAAAACAATTATTTTATCAGTTTATAATAATGATATATTATTAAAACTTTCTACTACTTTATGAACAGTTGATNATAGATATATTCAAATAGTTCACATAAAATATTGAAACATGCTAATGTATATGATAAGGTTGATGCTTTAGTTAATTATAAAGACCAAAACATGATGAATTATGCCCAAGTAATGGCCATTTCTAATACGGGCATGGTCAATTGTGACACACACATGCTCATTTGAGCCACAGGAAAGGTCAACTATGCCATAGAAATAGTTGATTGTGTCATGAAAATGGTGAATTACGCCACAGAAACAGTCAATTGTATAATGAAAATGGCCAATTGTGTCAAATAAATGGTCACTGTGCCACGACTATGGTACAAAGTACCATAAAAATGGTCACTTGTACCATGGCTATGGTACTTTATACCACGAAAATGGTCATTTGTACCAAGTGTTACAGACAGACAGACACAGGTGAATTTCGGTTTCTAGACCCTATCCTTTCAGTCTAAGAAACAAATAAGGATTTACAATCATATCGTTAGGGATTTATTAATAAAGTAAGTTATATATGAACAAATACATTTTCATCAACATCAACTGTTCATAAAGTAGTAGAAAGTTTTAATAATATATCATTATTATAAACTGATAAAATAATTGTTTTGATGCATTATGATCTTCCTAAATCTAGTGATCAAGCAATTTACTTAGGGCATGCCAAAAGTAGTGGCAGTGATACTTTCATACCGTATAGTAGACTTTAAAAAACTTTCTTTCTATGTAGTCTGATAGAGCAAAAAATACTCTATTTTTCTATGCTATTTGATCATACTTCAACTAATATCATAATAAAAAAATTTTGATAAGATTTTTTTTCTCATCATGTGTGACGGTTATAGTAATGCCTATTCAGTCGATACTTTTTGAATAACTTTTGATAGAAACAAAATAGAGAGCTGCGGTTTTCATCATTCGAAAGAGAAAATCAAGATGCATCGAATCACATATTATAGATTTGTTGCCATGGGATTTTTAAGGTTTTCAATCGAACTCTTTGATATTAAACTTATTCCGTGAGATGTTTAGAGAAAATTCTCATTTGTCAGGTGTCTATTCAAACCGTCGATGAAAGGCCTATACAAGCGTGGAAGATTCAGATATTTTGAATTAATGATTTCTGGGTTATAGATGTTTTAGTCGAAGTTCTAAGTGATTTTTCTAGCAATTTCTGTGAAGAAATAAAAAAAAAATTTTCCATAGTTAGAAAATTGATTGAAGAACCTTCAGATAACGTCTAAAAAAATATATAATACACAGTTCGATGCATCTTCATTTTCGCTTTCTAACGGTGAAAACCGGAGCTCTCTATCTTGTTTCTATCAAAAGTTATTCAAAACACACAGTGTAACCGTCATATATCATGGAAAAACAGATCTTATCGAATTTTTATTATTATGATATTAGTTGAAGTATGACTAAATAGGATAGAAATATAGAGCATTCTTTTTTCTATCAGACTATATAGAAACAAAGTTTCTTAAAGTCTACTGTAAGATATTAAAGTGTCATTGCCACCACTTTTGGTATGCCCTAAGTATTTAGGATCTATTAGTAAATCTCATTTACCATGTATATCAGAATATGAAAATGAATCGGAAGTTTTAATATTACCTCGAACATTATTTATCGTTAAAAATATTTATGATATTACAACAATCGATGAAGAATAACAAGAAAAACAATATACAGTAATTTATTTAGAAAATGTTTTACATGCTAAAGAATCATTATTGAGTTCATTAAAATTTCTTGTATCAAAAACAGAACAACATGAAATGGCAATTTATAGTAATTGTATTGCACAAGCAGAAAAGAAAATACTAATTTTGAAACAATGTAAATTTATCATTGTTTGTTATATTATTGAAAATATGAAAAAAATTTGAATTATAATCAAAATATCAATTCTGTATTGACGCAATTCAATCGTTAATATGACGTAATACAAATGATGGAGGATTAGTCATCAATCGTTGTACATATAAAGTAATTGGACGTTTACGCTTTCGTCTTCTTTTCTCCATCAATGCAAGGGCATTTTTCTTTTCAAATATATACCCTAATTAACGAAAAAGAGTATTCTAGATTTTGACTCTTTCTTGTTCTTCTATGCATTCTCTGATTTATTAAATAAATGAATCATTTATTTCGTATGATTGAAAAGGCATATGCTATCTAACTGTTAATAAGCAAAAAGAAAATCATTCTATGACAGCTTCTACTACAAGTATCGATAACCCAGATAAGTTAAAAAGAATAATATGATAATCATAGAATATGCAAATGCATCTAGTCTTTCTATCTATTTCATCGAAAACTAACGAATTAAGTTGAATGTCAAAAATTGAGAGCAACGTAAAGCAAGAAAATGTAAGTTTGACATAAGTATGCTTGGCTTTCAACACCAAGGACGATTAAAAGTTTTGATATGCTGATGACTATTTATCCTTAACAACCATAAACAGCTCTCAATGATGATCTAAATTTTAGTTTCGTCTGAATCATATGGATCAGTTCAAGTATGGTTTGACTTTTTGTTACGCCGCATGCCAGAACAAACGTGACACAGGGAGTATTAACCGTTCGATAGAGAAATGACGGATCTTTCCTGCATATTTTGCTATTTTAGGACAAAAAAAACCGGATGTCTACTTGTTAAATAAATGTGAGGACAAAAATTCATATCTCAATACCGAGGGAATTTCTGTACTTCAATATAAAATAAATTAAGAATGATATATGGATGTAGATGTGGTACGGTAGACAGAAAAGAAGCAGGGGGGGGGGAGGGGTAGGAGCAATGTTTACAATAGTTGTATCTATTAACTTGGTATTTTGTGTATTTATGCTTCACATTTGATGCTGATTTTCTGTGTTATCCAGTCGTTTTTACTTGTAAGATTTCTGAAAAACTGATTGAAACTTTTGCATGAATAATCTTCTCAATAAGGATAGTTAATTCTAAAAGCTTCGACTTTTCTTGTTGTTTCTGTCGTGAGCTACGAATAAAAGTATGGAATGTTTTTTTTTTCACACAACAGAATTTTGGATACGCGTATCCCAAAATGGAAACAACAAAGAAAAGCTGAAAGTTTCCAGAAAGACAGACTTTTCGGTACGGCTATGGATTAGGTATGCCGTTTCCCCACCACTTATATGTACTCTAGATCTGATATTTTTATTTCAAGATACGAACCAAGAAAAATTTTAAACTTCAAAGAAACTACTTTTCAAAGACTTCTGTCTAAATATGAAGATTACAATCAAAAACAGTTTTTATTTACATATTTAACTTTAGAAAAAAAACTACACAAATTGTACTCGAATAAATATTCTTCATATGGCTATCCCAGTGTTATGCAATATCAATAAAATTGTGGTTGAACAATTAATAATGCTGATTTTCCAGTAGCATAGTCCACAGTGTATCCATCAAAAGATTTCGTTACTGATTAACCATTTATATGATCGATCGATTGACTTACTCGACCTGTTGTTGTGAACAATCTCAGGCTTCGAATTACAAGTACAAAAAGTTGAATGTTGTTTATAATACATGTGACATTATCAAATTTTATTTTTGAATCTTGAAGATTTGTTCATCTTTTTCAATAAGAAGTTGTTCGACAATATCAGTTTTAGAACGAATACCATGCAATTTAGCTTTGATAACATTTTACTGATCAAGAAGAGACGAATAGAGAAATTGAACCTGGCTAAGAGGAACAGGATCATTTTGGAAAATTATTCCGCTCAGACAATGAGAGCAAGTGAAATTCGGAGTGGATGAATCGCTAAAATAAACACCTCCTGCACCATCAAACGTCAGACTGGCTCTGACTAATGACAAAACTCAAATAATCGTACAAAAAAATTTGACAGAATTTCATTTATTGACATACCGCTATGGTTAATCTTACCTTGATCTTTCTCGAACTCTTTCAATTGTTCACTTAATCGGTCAATTGTTTGATTATTGATTGCTTGCTCTTCGATGATTCTCAGATTCGTTAACTAGAGTTTTCTTTAATTGACCATTCTAATCAATTGCTTTAATATAAAATTCGATCATGATGTCAAATGCAACAATTATGAGAATGACGAGCAACAACAAATATATCTTTATTGTTGATGATGAAATTAGTCATTTTTTTCGTCGTGATATTGAAGTTGGTGTAGTAAGATGGTTTATAATGACTGTGACGGGATTGATATTTGTATTTTGATTATCGATCAGTTTATTGTTCTCGGTGCTAATGGCTTTTTGATTAATAAGATCTACATGAAATAGCGACATAAAAGTATAAATAGAATGATATATGTCAATACTCACGACATTGTACATTATATTTGTCTTCTTCTTGATCTTGCAGACATTGATCTACTCTAGTCGGCATGATGGATGCAAGACTTTGATCTGATTTATTTTAACCAATCGATTGCATTTGTTTCATACGTTCTAAATTGAACAAAACAATCATCTAATGAATTGTATGAAGCGTAAAAGAAGATTACTTCGTAAAATATTTTGACCAAGAAGAAATGTAAACATCTTCGATCGTTATCATCAATACGTTCTTGTAATATCAGAAGAATGTCACGAAACTGAAGATTATTCATCAAAGTGATATTCTCTCTCCAATAGAAAGAAAGAAATGAATCGAATTTGCATTTTGATTGCATATACTATCACTTGTTGGATATTTCGTATCTTGATCACCACTGCGACTGATCTTCAGATAGAATCAGGTGACTTTTCAATCAAAATATCTTAAAATTGAAATATTCGTTTTCCTACTTAAGTATAGCGATGCCAAGATGTTAATTCTCTCTATTGATGTCGAAGCTTTTATCTTTGTTTCTGTCAAAAGAACAAGAAAGTATTTTTTTGTCTTTTTTAATCACAATGACTTTCCATAGACTCTGTACTGTTTGGATACAAGAACTCAAACATATGAGTATTACCAGTATTGAGGTTAACAAAGATTCTCGTGTAATCGAAATTCGGATATAAACAGTTATTAATGACTGACGAAGGTATAAAGAACTACTGAAAAACCTTTCGCTTCACAAAATGAGCAGCTAAATATCAGAATCATACTAAAAAAACAGCTTCCAGCACTATTTATGCATGATTAAAATGTGAGACACGAGGAACTCACTTTAAACCTAATGGAGAATTTTTCGAATGAATTAAGTTGAAAATAGATTTATATTTCAAAGTCCACAGAAAGAAATAAACAAAAAACTCAAATGCAATCCTCTGTACAAACGGTTTTCAATCCCATGATTCAAAAGTCTCGAAATTAGAAATATAATTGACCTCTTAGTAAAAACATGATTCATACTGAATTGAAGATATTATCAATATTCTAACACATGCAATACAACATTACCTAACCTTACATACTATTAGCAACAAATTATTATTATTGCGTAGAATACCAACACTATATGGTTTGTCATTTATTAATGTCTAGAGTCTCCTATGTCAAAGAATAGACGCATACTTTAACAATTTTCTGCTCTTCTTGCACCAAGCTATCTTTGTTCGCATCTGATTTACTCAGATTAGTTTATTTTACTCAGTTTCGATGCGGCTGCCGAATAGAAATAAGAAAAACAAGCAACAGTGTAAAAGCCTTTCTAGAACAAGCAAAAAACTCAGATAGAACGTTCTGAAGAACAAAAACAAAGGCCAGCAAAGAAAACATCATCATCGATGAAGTGCTAGAATCAGAAATATGATGCTGCAAACAAGAACTCAGGGAAACACTTGAGAAGTTGTCGATTCAATTTCGAATCGAATCTTATTTTATTAGTAAGGAAGGTCGAATTCATAGACGGATACAAATAAAACGCAACTCTTACATTAACTTTGGGATCATACACTTGATGTGTCCTTCTCTCATACATAGTGTGATCCATAATTGTAACCTATCCTTTACTCTTCTGGGAATTTGCTGTTATATCCTATATTTTCACGTTATTGTGTTTACTGCATTCGTCATGATCCTTCGTTGCTAAGAAATATTATGTATAAGGAACGGGAAAAAACAATATAGTTGCAATTTTGATTATAATAATAAAGTATTAGAACAATAGACCCTTAAACAGTGTATACTATATCTATAAAAGTCAACTTTTGATATGAAAGAATTCAATAACCTTTTCTCCGAATCCATCTGCTAATCAAGATTGCACAATAATTTTTCATATTTAATGCAATATGTAATGCTGATAAATATTTCTATTATATTGATTCGTGGATTATCATTCAAAAGAAAATGTTCTAATTCAAAAAATCTGCGTCTCATAAGTCCTAGCACATGGATAAATACTTTTTGTTTTGAATCAAAACACTAAACATAATATAATTGACGAATAATAAAAATGATACTGTTTATTTTTTGCTGATATATCATTCAGTTTTTATTATTTTATCTTGAACTTTTCTAAGTGATTTATTTTCTAGTTCTTTGAGAAACGAGATTCTTAATTTCTTTAGTTCGACCATGTCGCTATTTGAATTCTAAGATAACTGTCTGGAACAATGATTCAATATTTCAATTCTTCTACTTAATCTATACAATCCACATTAATGTGAAATCACAATTACTATATTAAAAACTTCTTAAAAATATGGATTGATTCCGCTTATCGTAAAGTTACAATATAAGTTTTTTTAAATGTTGTCAAGTGTTTTCAATCTGAAGGCTTCATCAGACTCAATAGATTGCTGTATTAAAAATCGAAGAAAGATTGGATCATACCATATTAGAAAAAATATCTACATCCAACATCTAACATTTGTTGTTTAATGCAATCACAATCCTTATAAACTTGTAGCAATTATTGAAAGAACAAAGTGATACATATACTATTTGAATAAATGAAAAGATCATTTTATTAATTACAAACCTGCGATGAAGAAATATTGATCATGTAGCTGGTAATACACATAAAACAGGACGTCTTTGAAATACCAATTTCTTATGAAAAAAGAACTTAAATTTGATAAAAATAATAATTCAGCACAGTGGATCAAATAGAGGTATTGAAAATTTGTTTCTGATTATTTGCTTAAAAAAAAGTGTAGGTCAAAGTTTGAAAAAGATAGAGCTAGGTCTTTTGAATAGAAGATGCTGTCTCAAGTCAATCATCAATTAACAGGCGTATAGAAAGAAAATAGAATCTTTTTCTCCAACACACATATTCGACTTAACTAGCAGAGAATTTTGGACTATCACATTTATATGTATAATTTTTCGAGGCACGCACGACTTCAAACAAATCAAATAGGTGATAGTTCCTGAAGCAAAGTTTTGGTACAGTTTGTCTCTATGAACTGCATTTATTAAAAGTATTTCTAAAAACTAATACGGTTCTATGACAGTTGCTTCCGGGACACTTCCTTCCCGGACATTTGCTCCCCAAAAATGTTTGCTTTCTAGAGATTTTTTTTCTTCGACGTAGATGTGGGTATGGGGTGTGCGGTTGTCGTTCAGGATGTGAGTGTTTCTTTGATTTTTACCCATCCCCATACATCCACACCCACACCCCACACCTCGGCGAGCAAGTGTCGCTGAGGAGCAAGTGTTCCGGAAGTAACTGTCCTGTTACAAACTAATACACTATAAAAACAAGCAAACTAAGACAATGAAGAACTGAATAAAGTTTAAGAAAGGCAAAATATATAGCAAGTAATTATTCTTGATGTTCATCTCTACGCTGAAGACGAATAATCGTTTCTTTAGATGCGATTACCAAAGTTTCTTTCAGTTGTTCAAATGGTTTGCGTGTTTTATCACCACATTCGACAAATGAGTATGTTTTGAGAAGTCGTGCTAACACTATTTTCATTTCGAATAAAGCAAAACGCATACCCAGACAAATGCGTGGTCCTGCTCCAAATGGAATCCATGCCGTTGGATGTCGTCTCGTTGCAAATCGTTCAGGGTAGAAAACATGTGGATCGACAGGGCCCCACAAATCTGGATTGTAATGCACACTCTTCACGTCTGCAGTAATCTGTATACCAGCAGGCATTGTCCCGATACCCTGAATGTGAAAGTCTTTTTCACTTTGTCGGCTGTTGACAAATGTTGCAATTGGATACATGCGAAGAGTTTCTCTAATGACCATATCCAAGTACTCCATTTCAGATACGGAGTCATATGTCGGCATAATGTGTTCTGTTTTTAGGTCAAAATGAGCATCGATCTCTTCTTGTAGTTTCTTTTGTTCTGCTGGATGAGTAGCCAGAATGTATGCGATAAAGCTAAGTGCTGTGCTCGTCGTTTCATAACCAGCAATCACTGGAGTACAAAAAGCAAAATAGTGGCAAAATATACAGAGAAGAAACACAAATACACACTGAAGAAGAAAACATTGGCGGCAATTTCATGTTTGGTAAGTTTTCGAATTATAGGTACTTCAATGTCATTGTTTTCAGTTTGCTCAAATACTGCTTTGTCATCCTAGAAATACAGTATATGAGTATTGTAAAAGAAATTAAAACAAGAATCTCGAGTTCATTCAGTTAACATAAAGGAACAAATTGTGTTTTGTATAGTAATTACTTGAATGACATCTTCATTCGACAAAGATTCGAGCATCAACTGCATCAAATCAACTCGATTAGTCCGAACAGTCTGTTGACGTTTCTCGATCATTTCGTATGTTTTGTCTCTAATCCATGGAACAGGGGCGTCGTTAATGAATCGCTTCAGCATCGGAATATATTGCCATAACCAATGATGCATGCTGTTTGTTGAATAAAAGATAAATTTCCATAATTTATCTAATTCAATGATCAGTAAATTCAAAACGATCAAGATTCCACTACTAGCACTTGCCTCAAAAATCTGTTGTGAGTATCGAAGATATGGATCGTTGACACTATCTTGCATGTCGGTATCAATACTGAATGCACACGACCAAATTGTGTCCATAGTAAATCGCTTGAAGAAGACACTAATGTCAAATGGTTCCCCTTTGCTATACTGTTCATCCATTTTTCTCATTAGTGCATCGGCACATCGATTAACCAGTGAGGACATTTGTTTGAGTTTTCCTGATGAAAATGTTGGATTGAGAACATATCGTTGTCGCTTCCATCGATGACCGAGAGCACTGAAAACATGAACAAATGTTCCGTCGTGCTTTTCGAGAGGAAAAGAACGACGAGAGTGAAAGTTCGAAAAAGATTTAATAAAAATATCTTGTAAAATATCAGGATCAGACACTACCAAAACAGGTGTATGTCCTTCAAAATAGCCGAAGATGCGTCCGTATTTTTCAGTCCATTGCTTGATTGCGAATGATGTTCCGCGGGCACGAGCGATATCCAGAAAATTGCCAAAAAATAGAATCGGTGATGGTCCAGGAATGTTGAGTTCAATGAAAAAATTATAAATTTTTCGAATTTGCCATAAATATGCAACGATGACGGTAAGTAGCAAAACAACGAGCGTAGCGGTAAACAAAAACATCGATTTATAGAACCATATGAAAACACGAAAACTGCTTCATCTATTTTCTTTTTCGTTCTGCTCAGAAGAAAAAAACATGATGACTCGTGATACATTGTGTCACTTTTTATTTGATGTACGCTTACCTTCATGTATTGTTGTGAATAAACTAGTTAACCAATAATCGATGAGTTTCAGGTAAAATACTATTTGAGTAAATGTAGATGTCACTAATAGTTCAAATATTCGATTTCTTATTGGTTTATGTCAAAGTGATATTGAGTATTAAATATTTGGTACATGTATAATGCTAACTAGTCTTGCTTTCGTACCTCATATTCAAAACTTTACTGTTGGTTCTTGTTGTCCTACAAATAGCACTCTAGTTTGTTTTATATTCTACGACTGGTTTGTGTTTCAACAAATTCTTTTATTATTAATCTAGAATGTTCCAAAATGCTGAATTACAATTCTATTAGCTGTTTTACATGATCATTTACAAGGTAAAATTATGAAGATATTGCACATGAGCATTATTTGATATATGGGTCGAAGTATAGTTACCAAAATTATCCAATTTTAATTATTAATATGAAAATCTACATGAGTACATTGATCAGTAAAAAACCTATTTATCATTCTTATGTTACTTTTTATTTTTTTTCAAGAGATGAAGTCACATAGAATCAAATGTGTCTTCATATATTTACTTATTATCATCGAATGAATAATCTGCTTGTATATTTAATCCGATTGAGCAGATAATTTTCAAATCTCAACATTGGTTCAATTACCAAAATACCAAGATTTGAAACAAGAAATATGTGATAGTACATTCATTGGTAATAATACTAGAGATGTTATTCCTAATTTTACTATGATTATTTTCATATCCATAAATTGAATAATACTAATAAAATATTTAACAGTTTAGAAGTCTAAAAATATTTTTAAATTAACTTGTTTTAAAATCTACTCGATTTGTATTAGTGTGTACCATAGTTAAAAAAATTAAATCATAATAAAATTTATTTTTTCCATTACAGCATCATGTCAAGCGATCACATCATCAACTCATTTCATGATGCACATGATATCTAATAAGATGTTGTTAAATCATAGGGCTCGGTTTAAGATAAATATTTTTGACATATTACAGACATATATAATGAAAATCTTGAATAATAACAATATGATTTCGATAAAAATAGGAGATGATCAATCACGTTCAATTCATTTTCAAGTCTATACATAATTCTTATTTCATTCTTCTATAACTGATATCTTGTTTATTTGTCTGTTCATACAATCAATATTCGTATTAAAGCAAATTGGTTTACATTTACAGGTCATGAATCAAATTGTTGGACAGCTATTCAGTTCAAATGTTTTCTTCATAATTGCGATAAAATTGATACAAATAATCGATATTTTGTTCATCATATAGTGTTGTATAAATGTAATCCTAGAGTTGTGTTCGAAAATAATAATTCATCAGATGATATATGTGATACAATTCCTCAAAATTATTACTGCATCGATAACAAATATTGCTATGTAGTTGAGCTGTTGGTGGTACTGATGTAAGTTTTCCAAATAAAACGTCTACTCCCAAAGGATGGGTGTGGTGATATGACTGAAAATAAAGAACTAATACCCACACCCTTGATTATCATTGGAAAACAACACCTGTTTCTATGAATTAAAGAAGAAATCATTTTTGATTTGAGAATCATTTTCTTATTTAATTTTTTCCACCCAAATATTTTGCGAACCGTTGATCGTCGTATATCGTTTACCACTAGTGAATTTTCCTCATAACAGCACGGAAAATGAACTTTATTTCATATGATAAGATATGCAATAATCAATTTGATAATGTAAATGTATATGTGCACTGCATGTATGATGAAACCAGCATTAGGGCTGCTCTTAACCATCCAAGATTGGGGGTCAACGTGTTGCTATCTGCCATAGTAGAAACTTTTTAAGCAGGAATTCGGCAAAAGTTCTTTTCTCAAGAGTGTTTTTATGCAAAAATAAGGCATTCGTCTACGAAATAAGACTGTTGATTCAATATGTTTGCTTTAGAAAGATATATGTATAATGTGGGATCAAGAAATCAGTTCTATTCTGACTCGTTATATGATTCAAAGACCAGCATATGGCAATGTCTGTTACGATCTATAAGATGAACTCAGTAATTCTTTTTACTACCTTACTGCAAACAAAGTCTATTGATAAATTGATAGTTGTTGCCATGCATTCAGATTATCGTAATGTATTGTTATGCGTGACTAGTGGTGAATCTGGAACAGGGTGGGGTGTGGGTGTGGGTGTCATTGTGGGGTAGGTGTTATTGTTCTTTACATCTCCACTCACACTCATACCCACACCCATACCCACACTCACACCCTCTTCAATCACTCAATGACATCGTTCAGTTTGGATGACGCGTCAGGACACCGAAATATGCAGAAACGAAGAGTAGGAAATTCATATCACTCAAAAAGATACGCAATAGTATTTATTCGATCACAGATTTTATCGTATATATCTAGCAAAATAACTCGATGAGAATGAAAGGTTAGATGATGAGACAGAAACTCAGTTTGACGGCGATAATGCATCGAATCAATAATTACGTGACGACAAATAAACTTTAAAACAGATGAAATACGTGCATTAAGAGAAGCAAATGCCAGGAATAGATCGAATTCATTTAAATAATCAAAGATCTCACAAAATACATCGTTCGATAATTCTTCAAATGAAGCAGAATTGTCCATTTCATTGACTAAAAACTGAACTAAGAATATATATACATCAAGTATATGATGAATAAAGTATATAAGAGTATAATGGATCAATCGACCAATACATTAAGCAGTCATTATACATGTGTTTGATGCCGACCAAATATTTTAATAACAATGCCGAAGACAAAGCGTCACCTAATCGTATATTTAGTCTATAGAGAGAGAGCTGAAATTGAATATTGGCCGTTTAAAAATGGTTCAAACGAAAATATGCTCCTATGCTGAGCAGTCAAGAAAAAACTTGTCCTATTATGGTACATTCATATTAGCTGTTTAACATATATAAAATCATGTTCTCTTCTTAAGACTTTACTTAAAACAACTATATAAAAAAAGAAGTATACAGAATTCACAAACAAGCAAACCAGATAGTGAAATCGTTTGGTGGTTGCATACTGTTTTTTTCAATAATAATCCAATGGTTTAAAAACGGTCAAATTATATTGAATACTAACCCCCCCTCCCCCCCTCCAATAATAGAAGCCCCCGTGAGCTTTTAAACTGTCCACCGTTCAAAATTTTTGAAGAGGGCTTCTATTATGGGGAGGCTACTAATATGACTTTCGTACAGAAGTTTAAAAAAAAATCAGAAAAAATCAAAAAATAAAAGAATAAAAAAAATTGGAAAATCAAAAACTCGATCCAAGCGATAAAATTTTTAATCTCTTTTATCCAAAATATCAAATTAGGCTAAAACAACTTGAATTACATTTTCTTGATTTCTGTAATGTTTTTAACATTTTTTGATTCTTTAATTTTTTTAATTTTTTCTGGAACTCACATATATTTTCGAAGAAAATAGTGAGCGTAAGTTTTGAGGTCAAGGTTTCGCGGCTCTCCCCCCTCCTCCCTCTCCATTACTGACACCATAGCAACGAAAGCCCCCGTTACAGACACCCCGTCTCCATTACAAACCTTAGCAATTCACCCTTCGTNACACACGATCCTCTATTATACGGCCCGGATAATAGTAGCTTCTATCCGTACAATAGGACTGTATCAAAACGGGGTACCAGTCAAATTGACCACCCCCATATATATATGTATAATATTTACAGAAAATTACATACAAATTTTATTAAGATTTGAAATTATTTCAGTGAGTTACTATGATGATGATGATGATGTAATGATTGATATTTTTTAATATAAGCATCAACCATTTTACGAATTGATTTATGATTAACTTTATGAGAATACATAGACTAAAATAATTCAATAGAAAATTAGCAATATTTAAATGAATATAGACTTACTTTTGTAACAACTTTTTTCATTATTTTTTTATACTCTTGTTTTGTTATATCTTGTTTTTTAAATGCTGGTTTTAATACTTTTTTCGCACTATTAATTATTTCTCGTTGAAGTTTATAACGTTGTTTTCTCTAATAAAAACAAACGATTAAATTTTTAAAATTTTCGTCTACTTATAAACTTACACGTTCAGTTATTTCAAGTTGTTTAGCTGATATTGGTATTGAATCTTCTATTTCAATGTTTAAAGGAACTTAAATAATATAAAAAGATATAATTTCGATTTCATATCTTATTAATCTACTTACGATTAGTTAGAAATTCTTTTTGAATTATTTTATTTATGGCTTCAGAAAGATTGTTCAACATAATAATTTCATCTCTAGTCAAATTTAATGCTATAGGAAGATATGAAATTATTGGTAATCTTCTTCTTTTTTTGTTATAAAATTAAAAGAAAATTTTAATTTACCAGTAGATGGTTTATCAGATATTTCTGATGCAATTCGTTGTGATGTGTAATGATTTTTTAATACTGTAGAAATTAATAATGGAATAGTTTGTAAAAGTTCATTAGAGTTACTACTTGATGTTAATTGATTAATAGATGATGTTTCGAGAATAGTACTTGAGAGAATATCTCGTAGATTTAAAATAGATTCAGGCTTTCTTGTTAGAGATAATGTAAGCGAAGGTACACAGTCTGATGTAATTTTTATTGATTGTTCTTTATTATCAATTTCATTTGATGAAGTTTCTAATAGAAAGAGATTGTTTAAATCATTGAATTCGTTCGAATTTTGTTGATAATTTTCTTCAAGCAACATTTTTTTGTAAAAAGCATGCTATCAAATGTATTACTATTATTTTCAAATCTGAATTTCGAAATATCATTTGTCATTGAAATAGATTCTGATAGTGATTGAATCCGATCAATTTTTGTTTCTATTTTATTAGATTGAATATCTGAAGGTGGAATTAGAACTGCGCGAGACTATGAGAAAAAAGTTGTCGTAGTCGGAAGTAAAAAATTAGAGCTAACTTTTCTATGGTTTTTAGTAGTTTATCTTATAAATAATATCAATTAGAACATAGTTCATGAAAGACGACCGAAAAAAATGCTAATCGCCGACTAAATAAATCAAAAAATGAGCATTAGAGGATTTTTTTAAAGATGTAACACGAATAAATTCCGACTATAGCCAAGACTTAAAAACCTTGATTTCGCACATCTTGAATTAATTTCTTTTTAGTTGCATTTTCGATCCGAATGAGATTAAATGTTCGAAGATTTATTTAGTTAGATGATTAGATCTATTCCTAAGATTCATAAATATTTTGATTCCGCAATAACAGTATTCTTTACTATTTCAATATGAGGATATATTAAGAAGGAAATCATTATTTTTTTTAAAATTATCATTAGCCGTGTTAGGATAATGTGAAGTGTTTTTTCTTTAAAGTCAAGAATCTGATGGATAAATTAAAAAATTAATTATTTGTTTCTTAATAGATACTTACGTGCAGGTTGAAATCTATCATTTGTAGTAGTGAATGATGATTCTGATAATGAAGATTTGTTTGCATTATTATTCAGAGAAATGATAGATTGATTTCTATTGTTCGTATTTATCAAATGTTTATTAGTTCTATTAAAATCTTCAATTGATGTTGTATCATCAATAGTTGAAAGGATTTCTAAATTCGATTGATGATTGCTTGGACATTGTTTTTCATCGATCGTTTGATTTTGTAATAAGAATCGATCATTTATTCTCAATGATAAGATTAATGATAAAGGTTTATCATTTTTCTGTGTATTATTTTGTTCGACTTTGAATGATTCTTGATTTTTAATTGCAAATGTTGATGTGGTAGATTCATTAATCATACGATGTGAATCCATTCTGAAATAATAGGAATCACTAGGATATTCTCAAACTTATTAAAAGATAATTCTAAGATTTAATTTGGATATAATGAATTATCGAAATCATATTGAGTTATTAAAGTGTAAAGTATCCCTTTAATCAATTTCTAGAAAAATAAAAGCTTTAAGTAGTATATTTACATTAGATATGACTAGTTTTCAAAAAATGAGGTCAAGATCATTTCTGGACATTTAAAACCTTTAGAATCTCTTTCTAAATCCTCAAAAACTTCTTTTTTTTTATTAAAAACTATGAATGGAGGGTTTTCTTCAAAAGAAAAACGATAGTGAAAAATTTAAAACAATGACCCAATACTCAAAATCAACATACTTATTGTTCATTTCGATAGAATCTTCATTAATATTTTTCTTCATCAATTGTTCATCATCGACATTCATTACTATTAAATTATTATAATTTTGATTTATTTTTTTCGAAAAATAATTATAGTCGATTTCATCTTGCTAGTATTTTTCAATTGACATCTACAAGAAAAAGAAGTAAATGACTTTTATCGTCATTTTCATATTTACTAAAAATTTAATCAATTATATTTGTGTCAAGATTATTTATTAATAAATCAAAAAATTATTAGAATAATATAAAAAATAAAAATTTATTTCAAACAATAATATATCATTTGATATAAGCTTAAATAGATTATATCGATAAATGATGAATCAACTAGATGATTAGATTTTTAAATTGTTAACTTCGTTAACATTCTAATTATTACTTATTCACATATAGTTGATCGTCCGAGCATCAGCAAAGTATTTTTACAGTCTATACTTGGTAATCTTCATTATAAACATAACATAATATTTTCTACTAAATATATTTCTGATTGATCATTGTTGATTTTTACTCAATTAATAAAAACATTCAATAAAATGAAATATTTTCTTAATATACTTTAAAATATGGTTGATGATTAGAAAATGAATGTTCTTTTTATTTCTAACTTGATTTCATATGATCAGACAAGGAAGACACAACGAATGTTTATCATCAGCGGTATAACTCAACATTGAAGGTGGGGATGGGAACTATGTGGATAGTTTCCAGAAGCAAAGAAGATCCGGTGTCACGTTATAAGATGCACAAATTTCTTGCTTTATAAAATCTCTAAAGTAGGAGAACAATTTTTTTGCTTTCAGCTATTTGCTAAATTGGATATTCAATCATCAAATTTCACTTATTTTGATAGAAAAAGCGACAATAAAAAGCGGCTTTGAATGACATCTATGCAAAGAGTAATGCTTTTATGGCGTGTTTGTATCGAGTTCTGCTAGATAAGTATGAGAAAAAGTTCTTAAGTACGATCTTTATACATGATCATTATCAGACGCATCTAACATACTTAGAAGTTCATGTATCTATGACTTTTTTATTGTGAATTTCTTATTATTTAAATCTTGTAAGTCGTGTTCGAGGTAGAATATTTTGGAGAAAGAAGGCTTGAAATGTAGACTTTTGTAAGAATTAAAAATGATAATGATTCTCATGAAAGATTTTTATCGCCGATGGATATCTGGTCGCTGCTGCGATAGAAGTTTTGAAACATTTTCTGCACGGCGATGATTTTAAAAAACAAAGTACTGTTAATGCCGCCGACGTGGTGGCAGCACTGCCATAGATGTCTTAGTCTCATTTTAGATATTTTTTCGTTCAAGTTATAAAAATAAATAAATAAGTGTTTCTAAATTTTTTTTTGTGTAGATTTGAAACAACTTTTTTCCAACGAGAAATTGATCATAAATAAGTTTATGATTATTTTCTGATTAGATTCATGATCACTAAAAAAAAATCTTTAAAAAAATAAGTCAAATTTGATATTTTTTCTATATTTACAATTTATTTTTCTGCTCTAAAGTTAGGATATTCACGCAAAAGAATTGTCCTACAGTTCGTTAAGTTAGACTTATTCCCCAGTTAGCTATGACATATACATTTTTTTTTGTGTTCAAGTTTCGACTTACAATTCTACAATTTGTATTTTATCTCGAACTTGAAGATTTGCAAGTGAAAAGCTGTTCTAAGATTATTAATAATTTATCTCTCGTATGTAAATAACTGTATATATCAAACTGCCAAGAACATTTAATAAAAAAGAACAAAACGAAGTTGATTTTTATCAATTGGATGTGGACACGGTTGAGGGTGAGCGTGCGTCGAAAGCAGAAACACTTGCTTACACCTACACCGATCAAGTCGATATTCCTTTTTCTCTAGTGTTTATGCAGTTCATTGCTCATTTTGATACATTCCATTTGTAAATCTGAGCTCAAATGATGATAGTCACACTGTATTACTGAATATCCATGATGCAAGTAAAATGTTTCAGCGTTGAGTGAAGCCTTTAATTCGAGTGTATTCACGCCGTGTTGCAAAGCCAATGCTTCAAGATATGCCAAAATCTTTGTGCCAACCCCTTGATGTTCATACATTGGATCAACATAAAGAGCACGAATCTCGTGTTCAGAAAGGATGATTGATCCAAATCCTATGACTGATTTGTTGTCTAATTCAGCAACAACGAGTACTCGATCGCTGCTTTCTATCATATAACGAAGTCGGTTTAAACGAACCTCGTCTGTCGGTGATGGCGCCCAGCTTTGTAGAATTTCCTGCGTGTAGAAGTTTGCAGGTGTATCTCCATGAACAGCTTCGTAATGAACACGAGTGACTGCTTCAATATCATATATAGTGGCCGAACGAATATTCATGGTGAAAATTGAGATTCAAAGTGTACTATTATCTTAGCGATGAAAGCGTTAGTAGTCAAATGACAGTTTATATCGATAAGGAAGCAACAAAGATGCTGTCATTTCTTTGTTTGCTAGCGTCAACACGATAGATATAACATGTTTGTCTTGTGTCATACTCACTCTCGATTATTTATGCTGCTATGAAGTGACAGTATGCGACAGATTCTATTTCGAGAAGAAAAGTGCTATCTCAAAATTTTTAAGACAGAATAAGAAATGGGTGTGAATGTTAAATTGTGAAATGAATACCCAAAACCCACTTGCATCTACATCCACACCCGTTTTGTAACTGTTTACGGCTGTTCTACCTGATCTGGTTCTGTGTAGTGATTTGAATAGTCATTTGAGTTTTCTAATGACGAATCAAATTGTTATTTGGATTAGAGTTAGTGCGCGACATTATAGAAAAATTCAAAAATATCTTGTTATTATAGTTTTGTGCGATACTATATTTTTGAAAGGCCAAACGAAGGTTTTATTCAATAGAAAACCTTTTCTTTTTTTTATACATCGAAATAGACAACCGAAAAATATACCGAACCAAGAAGCGAAAGTGAAAGAGCAAAGCAGAATGACTCATGAGTTTTTTTTTATTTATGTTCTCCTCTGTATTCTGACAGTATCCCTGTCCTCGTCCGTTTCGTCAACGACACCGGCAAAGGAAAGGAAAGAAAATCAAGACACACGTGTAAAATTTCAATATATTGCTCTTGATGTGTACGATATAAAATACTAAAACAACAAAAAGCAAAGAGATATTTGGTATGCTGATATTCAAATCGATACAGGATGATATTAAACAAAATAAACTATCAGAATGTTCTCTACAAACTAAATAGATGTCTGCAGAAAATATGGTGTTGGTTTTTTTTTGTAGAATTGACGAATTATTTATGTTCTCTTTTAGATTTGAATCTAGTTGATGCCTCGTAAAAAACAAGCAGCTCGTATATCAACTGGTGGCAAAGCCCCACGTAAAATATTGGCTACAATGGCAGCACGTAAATCAGCACTACCGACTGAAAGTGCTAAGAAACAACAAGCAAAGAAAACCAAGAAGAAAACGTAACTATTTATTCGTTCGCGTATGAGATTAAAACTCAAACTGAAACAAGTTTCTTCTTCAGTGAATCCAGCACTCTTTGATTTGAAAAATACTGACTAATTTTATTTGATTTGTTTATTCTTTTTTTTTTTAGAATTCTGAAAAAGACCAATACGATGCAACCGGCCGAAGCAACCGCTTCAGCGACACCCAAGAACGACTCTTAATCATTTGAACAGTTTCATTCTTCTTTCGCATTTTATGTGAAGAATATTCTTGATATTTTTTTCGCTTTGTATGCTATAGCACTGCTAATATTCTTAAAACCTATTGTAAATTTCTTACTCTTGATTAATATTATTTCACTAAAGATTGATACGGTGAAAATAGGCTGTTTTGCTCGTAAGATCAAGATGATTAAATCATTTTTCTCATCGGAGTATGACAATAGTCATAAGGATGGAAAACCTGGATCAATTTGTATAAGAAATAATGAACGATATAAAAACAATTGTTTGAATTGCGACATTTGAATAACTAATTTCTTGAATGTGATATGTGAATCACATTTCTATAGATCCCTCTCTTCAACTCTGTCAGTCGTTTTCACTGCTAGATTCCATCGAATTCGTCGCCCGCACACAGATGATTTTTTACTCCAAAACTTTGGCAAAACATGATGTCTACAGAAACGATTATTCTTTTTCGATAAAACCAGTGACATTCTAAATCATAAATATCAAGCCAACAGTCATTTCAATATATAGAATAGTATTGTTTGATATATTCAAAGCAGTATAAAATCGGCCTACTAAGGATAGTTACGATGCAATCAGAGAAGAAATAGCATTCAACCGCTGATATTTGCATTGATGAATAGGTAAACAATCGTCGACAAGATTCGATAACATCATTACATCTCCAACTAAATTGACAAACAAAACAACATCTCAACATGATTTTTATCCAATTTGACGAATTCAAGTTTATTTCATGTGTCTACACTTTCTGTAAATTGTGAAGTCTTCACTGTAACGAATTACGAAAATAATATAGAAATATCAAATATTGAATATTATCTTCCTTCATTTCGTATATCACTATAACATAAAACATGCAAATGCGTGACAACTAATTTCCTTCGATAACAAGACTTACTAATGTCGACAAAAATAGTTTTAACCCAGGTATGAGACCCTTGAGCAAGATCTAATTTTGTTCGAGTCGAATACATCTGAATGCATTACTAAATACAGTTTTTCATATTGAATACCAATATGATATTTTGTTTAAATTGGATTTCGGCATCGAAAACTGGGTTTTAAACTTTTCAAGAATTGAATGTTTAGTTTTCTACGCAATAATTTTTTCAAAAAAAAAAAGAGCTAAATGACATACCATTCGATGCAGAAGTTCCCATTGTGATGTAGTAACTTGATTCTTCTTTAGAACAATTAGATTTACACAAAAGACCAATATGTAAGAAAAGAAAATATTTCTCTGCACGTAAAGTACCTGAAAAAAGATTGACAAAAACCTATATAACAGTCGTAGTTTTTCTTCTTGCAATTTTTTTATCTAAGTAAAAATAGTTTAGAGAAAATCTTTTTTACGACTTAAAAGCTTGTTCCATGTTCTTGCAAAACTGACTCTAGAAGCGTTTCATTTAGAGAAATACTTTGACGAGAAATTAGAATTTTATCAGCGATACTGCAGAAAAAGTGTCTTTTTATGTAGTAGCGTTATGCAATGATAAAAAAAAAAATCCTTCTAGAAACTCATAAATTCAGTCAAAAGCGATCATTCTTACAGTACAAAATAGAATGTGATAAGCTACGTCGAATGAAGTTTAAATGAACGTTCTAGCTCTCAAACTTTCCAAGATAATGGAAAAAAAAGATATGTGAAAAACGTCACAGCGTTACGTTTGAATGAGCTCAGGCACTCTTTCATACTACTAATGAGTCATTGTCTTTGCTGCGTAATATTATTTGTCATGTTTTATTTTCACCATGTCTATGCTTCTGTTTGCACTTTCCTTTTCTTTTCATATTTACCACCAATAAAGCTGTAAAATCACTCAATATTTGAATCAGAATAAGTTTATCATGGGTAATAATGTTGAAAAAGAATTGAAACATAATGAACGTATACGTCATCGTCATCATCATCAAAGTGAACCAAGTCCATTTTATTGTGCATGTCGTAATGGTAATGTAGAAACTGTTCGAACAATGTTACGTACTATTTCTTATAAAGATTTAAATCGATTAGAATTAAATGGTAATGATCCGCTTCATGTAGCTTCATTCTATGGTCATAAAGAAATTGTTCGTCTTTTATTACATGAACGTGGTTGTGATCGATCACAACGAAATCGTTATGGTCAAACGGCTTATGAAGTAGCAAAAAACGATGAAATTCGACAATTATTTCATCGACCATTAAATATTAATCGATTTTGTGATAATAATCAACAAAGAAATAATAATAATCAACAAACATTTTCTATTGTTTCTTCTCAATCAGAACAAACAGGAGATAATCATGATGATGAACCAATACCTTCGAAATGGATTAAACTTTATCAAAACGACAATGAAATATTTAAAGAAATTCATTATCTTGGTAAAGGTAAACGTTTACTTCGATCAAAATTCGGACGATATATTGTTGGTCAAGGTGCAAAATATCAAGGTGATACAGAACTTAATGATTATGAAAATTTAATTGGTTATTTGACTGATCGATCATATCGTGTCAATAAAATTCGTAAAATACTTGATAATGTAGTATCAAAAGAACATTATCAATATGATAGATGTTGTGATCTATTATCAAAATATTCTCATGATGGAAATGTTGAATCATTATTGACACTTTATTCACTTGAAACACCATTTTATCATGCATTAAGTAATGATATAGGTCCATTAAAATGGCCATTATTTTTAAATCTTTCCAATTTAAAACATCGATATTTTCAAGGTCAATGTTATCGTGGTATAATAATGACAAATGATGATTTACAATCATATTATTCGGCATTACATAATAAAGGAAGTTTTATACGAACAAATACATTTTCATCAACATCAACTGATCGTCAAGTAGCAGAAAGTTTTCATCAAATATCATTATCATCTAACAATAATATAAGTATATTAATGCATTATCATTTTCCTCAACCATGTGATCAAGCAATTTATTTAGGATCTATTAATAAATCTCACTTATCATGTGTATCAGAATATGAAAATGAATCTGAAGTTTTAATATTACCTCGAACATTGTTTATTGTTATTAATATTTATGATGTTACGACAACCGATGAAGAACAACAACAACAAAGAGAATATACAGTAATTCATTTAGAAAATGTTTTACATGCTAAAGAATCATTAGTGAGTTCATTAAAATTTCTTGTATCAAAAACAGAACAAAATGAAATGGCACTTTATTATAATTCTATTACACAAGCAGAAGAAGGAAATAATACTAGTAAAACGATCGAGATTTAACATTGTTGTATTATTGAAAATATGAAAAGTTTCAATTAAAATTAAATTTTATTTAATTTTCATCATTATCAATTCTTGACCGACGCAATTCAATCATTTGTAAATAGTTTATGTGACACTATAAATGATTGAGGATTACTCATCAATCTTTTTACATACATAGTTACTCGACACTTCCTTTTTCTCTTCTTTCTATTTGTTCTTCTTTGATTGCGTCTTTTGTTAAAATACCGACTTGTCTTTCTTCCTCCGTTGATTCATGGACATTTTTTTTTCATATACATCTTCTAACAAAGAAAAAATTTATTCTAGATTTTTCTTTTTACTGTATAATTTTTTTGTTTCAATAAAGTATCCATTCGTTTCGTTTGGTTCAAAATGTGACAGATTTTATTAAACATATTTTATTACGTTCAAAAGTAAAGCTTAAGATGTTGATTTATTTTATCTCTTGATTATAATAGAAGATATAGTAAACGTTCTTGACAGTACTAAAGATTCTCAATACTAAATCTCTCACGTACAAAAAAGATTCTTTTTCCAATTCATTTATTCATCACTTAATATTCTGTATTTAAAAACAAAGTACACCACAAGATGTAGCGTGAAAAGTTCTACAATTTACAAAGAACAGCTTATTTTCTCATTGCATTTTTTTTGTTTTCAAAATGAACAAAATTCTGTGCGACTATTTTTTTGACGTTGCAAACAAAATAATTTTTGGCACATGATCAATTTCATTTCTTATTATTTTGGTTAATGAGATATATCGAAGGTCATAATCAATGACCCAGTTTAAATCAATTGATGCATGTTCTGGTTACAACAATATGCAATGGAAAAAAGTTAAACACAATGATTCATTAATTGATGAAATCAAAAAAGATATTCATCGTGCACCAAAAATGATCTTTTCCGTAGTGTTGAAAATTAGCCGCACAGAATTTCGTCTATTTTGAACATAACAAGTGCATTTATAAAATAGCTAAACTATCACTTACAAATTATAGAGATTTCCACGCTACACCTTATGGTGTATTTCGTTTTTTAACGCAGTATATTCGGTGATGAAAAAATGAATCGAAAAAAAGGAAATCTGTTTTTGTCCCAGGGAGAATATGGTTGATGCAGTTAAATTTGTTGAGGATGTGAGTATGACTGTGAAAGTAGGTGTGTATGTGCTAGTGTGGCTTAGTCTTTTTTTTTTTACACCCGCACTCATATCTACATATGTCTAATACAAATGATGATGAATTGAGAAAAAGGCATTTGATTGCTTAAGAGTAACGACCAAACTATTTTGTCAATTTCACTGTGGGTCAAGTTGAGCTTCTTTTTTTTCTGTTCGTTCTGATCACCTATGTTCTCGTATTATCACGACTAAATTTATCATCTACCTGAAGAAAAAAAGCAATGTCTTAATGACTCAAAATTTCTTTTGAAGAATACATTATGTTATCTGTACATAATTTGGTATTGTTTTGGTAAAGAAAAAGAATTTTCTATCAATCGGATATTCGTTCTATAAGATGCGATGAAATGTTTATCAACAAGAATTCGTTCCATACGACGACGAACCATAATGCACAACCATCCATCCATATTAAAATATTGTTCATCATCCACATTTTTGCAATTTATAGTTCATATCTACTAATACTATCTTAAAGTGACATACCTATCAATAATTATTTGTACAATTCATGATAAGATTTAGAATCATAGACAATGGTAGACCAGGAACAGCAATTAGTTTGAATAATCGATGAATGTAAACTTATTATGCATCCAAATGCCACTAATAATTTTGTTGTCATCTACATAAGATTTTCCGACTTTAGTAATTCACATATTATCGGGGAGGTCATCGTACGAAAAATGAATCTTAACAGAAGATGGGCAAAATTTTAAACAAATTTTACGAAGTATATGACATTATAGCTTACTAAGGCTCTTTCGTGACCTTATATGCTTAATAATAAACGAGAATAATACGCATATATATGTATATCAATTGAATCTGAAACAATATAACTGACTAAATGTCATATATTTAGAGAATGACGTCTTTCGTAATAATAGTAAAAAAATACTGTTTTCGATTTTTTTCTGAAGATTTTCATAACACCCTTTTTTTTTTTATTACAAATTGTTAGAAAATTAGAAATATACAATCTATAAGAACTTCATTCTTAGCAAGGAAAAAGAATGTCATCGTTGGTGTCCTATTCTAGTAATTAGTTCATTCCTTTTGTTTAACAACTTATTAAGCATTTATGTTAAACAAAAATACAATCAAACAAAAGAAAAGAAGATTCAAGCTTTTTTCGAAAGAAATCATCACAAAAAAATTTTTGTTGGCATTGAATAATATTGCTAATTAGTTAGAGTAAAATTAAAAATCGAAAGAATCATTTTTAATTTAATATTAACTATTCTCATAGAATCAATATTTCATTGTCTGATTTCGAGAAAACTCGAAAAATTAAGTCTTGGTATCTTCAATATAGGTTTAAATTGAAAATATGACGAAAAAGTTGTATTGCACCTTTTTCTTTTTCGTTCATGTCGATTTTATAAAAATATTTGTTTTTTAGTAATTACACTGAATGACTAAAAATGATATTTTCAAGTATTGTCAAATACTTTGAAAGGAACTGTCAGTAGTTAGTTTTCAAAAATGTCTTATTCTTATGATGAATAAAGAATAATGAGAATGAAATATATTTTTTCTGTTGAAAGAGATCTTTTTAATTCTTAATATTATAAATAAATAAAATATTTCTTATAATCATTGACATTATATCGTTATAAAAAGGGTGTAGGTGTGGGTGTTCGTTTCCCTCATATTCAAACTCCTCACCGACACCCACATCCTAAATATATTTACTTTTACTAAAGTAAATAGTAAATAATTTATTTAATTTATCTTATTTACTTTTTGGAAAAGTAAAGTAAATGTCTCACCTCTACAGCTGAATAATTTTATTTGCACACAATCACTCAAAGAAAATGAATTATTGATCTCGATCTGGTGTTAGTTTGATTAGAATAATTGATATAGATTCTCCCTTGTAATCCTTATATGGACAGGATAATCCATCGTCATTCTTCTTCCATATCCATGTCCTTGGATCGACGATTCTTAATTCTTTTCCACCCATCTTATCGACATAGATATGTCGTGTTAATTGATTTGTCGATTGTATAATTGCATATTGAAATCCTTGCGTATTTCGTGCATGATCGCACATGACTACTCGTAATCGACTGGCTACACCTTTACTCGAATGTTGAACTCGAGTTGCTCCCATCAAAATGTATAAAACCATGTTCGATATTAATTCTTTACCAAAATCTTGGCGAATGAATATTTCATCCATTTCATCGCTTAAATCCTCGATTGGCATGACTGCTGGTGAACTAGAAGCATCGTACGGATACTTCTTACGGATCACAAATAGATCCATCGTTATGATTGCTGCGATGATTTCGCCCGAAGAACGATGTCGCGTAAGCAATGACAGTCGTTGATCGAGTGCCTCTGCCATCCATGGCCATGATACAAGTTCAAAAAATCGTCCCAATGATATTTTATCGAATATGGTTAAGAGATTCCTTGAAGTGAATTCTTCAGCTATGAGTCGAGCGCACACTTGTGCATCATTTTCATTGTTGATTACTTCATACGTGTATTCGTCAACGTTAGTCATATTGTTGTCGTTTGCAATCAGAAAGAAAGAATGCTTGCTTTTTTTTTTGTATGGTTTTTTTCTTTTCATTCTGTATTCTTATCTTTTTATCAAATATTTTCTCTAGTGCATTTTA